GTTATTTGTGTCTTCTTCCTCTTTTCTTTTGTTAGATTTGCCAATGGTTTGTCAATTTTATTAATCTTTCAAAGAGCCAGTTTCTGTTGATTCTTACTATAGTTTTTCTGTTTTCCATCTCATTTATTTCTGCTCTTATCTTATTTCTTTTCCCTTGGTGACTGTAGTTTCCCTCTGTTGGTCAGTTTCTGATTGTTGGAGATGCTGTGTTAATTTTGGTTCTTTATTTTTGGTTTTGTGCATTTATTGCAATAAATTGTCCTCTCTGCACTGCTTTTGCTGTGTCCCAAAGATTTTGGTATATTGTGTTTTCATTCTCGTTTGTTTCTAGGAATTTTATGAATTCACATTTGATTTCTTCTTTTACCCAGTCGCTTTCCTCAGGGTGTTGTTCAGTTTCCATGTATTCGACTTTATTTCCTTAGTCTTCGTGTTGCTGATTTCTAGTTTTATAGCATTGTGGTCTGAAATGATACTCTGTAGTATTTTGATGTTTGTAAATTTATGGAAGCTTGCTTTGTGACCCAATACATGGTCAATTTTAGAGAATGTTCTATGTGCACTGGAGAAGAAAGTATACTGTGCTGTTCTTGGCTTGAATGCTCTGTACACGTCTATGAGGTCAAGTTGGTTGATTGTGCTGTTTAGTTCCTCTGTGACTTTGTTGAGTTTCTTTCTGGTTGTTCTGTCCCTTTTTGAGAATGGTGTATTAAAATCTCCCACTATAATTGTAGACTTATCTATTACTTTCTTCAATTCTAGTAAGGTTTGCTTCATATATCTTGGTGCTTTTTCATTGGGAGTGTAAATGTTTATTATGATTATGTCATCTTGCTCAATTTACCCTTTGATCCTGAGATAGTGTCCTTCTTTATGTCTTATGCTGGTTTTTGTATTAAAGTTTACTTTTCAGAGATTAGAATTGCTACCCCTGCTTGTTTATTGTTTTAGTTAGCTTGGTATATTTTTTTCCATCCTTTAACTTTTAATCTGATTTTGTCTTTGTGTGTAAGATGTCTCTTGCAGGCAGCATATTGAAGGGTCTTGTTTTCTTATCCAGTCAGCCACTCTCTGTCTCTTCACTGGTGCATTCAATCCATTGACATTCATTGTAATTATCTATTGTTGTTGTTGTTGTTGTTAAGCGCTGTTGAGTTGGTTCCGACCCATAGCGACCCTCTAGAGGGTTTCCAAGGAGCAACCAGTGAGCTTGAACCACCAATCTTGCAGTTCAAACTGACTTTGCAGTCTAGCACATTAATCCACAGTGCCACACCAGTATGAATTAATTGCTGCCATTATACTAATTTTTGGTAGTGCTGTACATTCCTTTGTTCTGCATGCCTTCTTATGCTGAGTTTGTGTTTTTTGTGCTATTTCTTGTTGGTGTCTTCTTAATTTTCATGTTTGCTTGCTCTGTTTGGAAGTTCATTTTCATGGTAAGTTGTGAAGTATTAACTTTCTTTGGGGTTACGTTATAATCTATTAACGTTTCTCTCCATTTAAGACAATCTATTGTATCTGTAATCTACCTGACATTCTCACCACCTGGATGGCTGTTCCTACATTTTTCTCTTCTTTGACATTGATATTATTTTGATCTTCACTTGACCTCCCAGCTCCTTTGAATTTGTTGTTGTAGTTTTGTTCTGTTCTGAACTCTGCTGTCGACTGAGTTCCTGGTGGTGGTGCCACACCTGTCAATCTCTGATTGTTGTCTATTCTTGTTGTTTTCAGTCCAAAGAACTCCCTTTAGGATGTTTTGAGTGCTGAATTGGTTTTGACAAAATCTCTTAGATTCTGTTTATCCTGGAATAATTACACCATTGTATTTGATTGATAGTTTTACTGGATAGACAATTCTTGGTTGGCAGTTTTTTTTCTTTTAGGGTTTTTTATATGTCTCCCCATTGCCTTCTTGCCTGCATGGTTTGTGCTGAATAGTCACAGCTTAAATTGATTTGCTTGCCTTTGTAAGTGACACTTCTCATCTCCCTGGCCACTTTTAGCATTCTCTCCTTGTCTTTGATTTTGGAGAGTTTGATTATTATATGTCTTGGTAACTGTATTTTGGGGTCTATCCTTCCTGGGGTACGTTCGGATTCATGAATGCTTATCTTCTCATCTTTCAAGACATTAGTGAAATTTTCTTCCTGAAGCTCTTTAACTATCTCCTCTGTGGACTTCTCTGATTCTTCCTGGTCTGGAATGACAATAACTCTAAAGTTGTTCCTCTTCATTTTATCCAGCATGAATCTTAGACTCTCATCAGATTTTTTTTAATCCTTTTTTCTGCTTGCTCTTCTGTCTTAGCAGTATTGGGAGATTTGTCTTCCAGATCGCTAGTTCTGGCTTCCATCTCTTCTATTCTGTTCCTTTCCCCTTTCAGT